AGTCTTGCAGAGTTGTCCCGTTTTTGAGTTTTGCTAGAGGTACCCCATTTGGCACCTCATTTGCTACATTTGTGAACTACAAATATAGGGAGGGGGTACAAAATGGGATACTAATTGAGGTAGCAATATCATTTGTGCCCATTTTTCATAAAAGATTATTGTATACTTCTGATATATTTTAAATATGTATTCGAAATACTCACTTTCATAGCCCACATTAGGGGTGGCCGGGTGGCCAAGGTCCCCATACCCAGACTAGATAATACGGTTCCATTTTTTTCCCTTTAACACCCTTGGAAGGCATTTTAAGATGGGTGAAAGTTCATTTAAAAGCTGAAAAGGAAGTGGGGGTAGATTTTTAAAAATATAAAAAAAAAAAATTGGGCGAGTAGAGGGACCTGAACTGGAAAAACAGGTCCCGAGCCTCCCTAATTTTTAGACATTCTGGTTTGGGATTCAAACTGGCCCGAAACTAAACCCTGTCCACCACCAATAACGATCATTTTTGGTGAGAATTTAGAGTCCAAAGTAAAAATTAGGGATGTTCTTCAACTCGATTTTTACGGTAAATAATGAAAATGGTGAAACCAAGAACCGAACTGTACTACTTGAGTCGGTTTCAGTTGGCTTGGTTTAGTTTTGGTCAATTTTAGCTTGTTTTAGTCGCCTTTTTTCAAGTCTGTCAATTTTCAAATTCAAAGTCTAAATCAAATTTTTATTAAGGTGGAAAGATGGTTAATATGGACATAATAGTCGTTAATAAATTCATAGTATTAAAGGCGGACATAATAAAAGTTACATGACTAAATATATAATTTCTTTAAACGTAAATTCTAAATTATTCGACCCTCATTACAGAATAGAAAGGGGGCTAAAAGCATTATTTATAATAGAGGATGTAAGTGATAATACACCAAATCTCAAGGATCAATGATTTGTTTTGGAAGAAAGGTCAATGATGATTTGAAAACACTACTTTTAATTAGTATTTGTTACATTTAAAGCAATGAGGACACAATACTCAAAATGGAAAATAACTTAGATATCCTAAACTGTTGAGAAGTGTGACATAAGCGTCCCTAACTTGCATATCTAATATAGCAACCCCAAACGTTATATAAAAAGTTATCTTAACATCATGACAATATGTTATTATTTCACAAATGTAAATTTATATTCTTAAGTAAATAATTTAAATATTTTAAGCATTTTTAGTGTGCAATTAACGATATAAACTTATGTGTCAATGTAATGCATTTAAAATATTGAAGCTTAGATTTATAATTTCATCCTTATAAATGCCCAAAGTATTTTAAATTTTATTTAAACATTATAAATTTACACTTGTGAACGAAAAAATTTCCATACAAACTTTAATTTGGTGAAACTTCCATCCTAATAACATACGCAAATTTGGGGTGCTTACCTCATACATTCAAAAAGTTTAGCGTATTTAAATTATTTCCCCATAACCAAACACTCATTAAATATTTTAGGGAGAAAGCTCAAATTGACATTTATGCTCTGTTTGGATAAAGTGAAGTTAAGTAAACCTAGTGCAATAAAGTAAACCTAAGTTTTAATAAAAACTAGGTTAACCTAAGTGAACCTAGGTTCATATGTAAATTAATGTTTGGAAATATAGAAGGTGAACTTAGTTTTATGTAATAAATGTTGTTTGGATAAAGGTACTCTAGCTCATTTTATGTTATACGAGAACTTAATCTTCAAAACCCCCCGATTTGGAGGTTCTTCAATTTATGGCATGTTTGTTTGAGGGTTAACCTAGGTTATTGAAGGTTCAATTTCTAGTTAACCCCGTTTGTTTGTATTTTTGCAACAAGAACCTAGGTTATGTGTTAACCTCACTTAACTCCCGAGAACCTGGAAGAATCTTAAATTGAAGAACCTCCGAATCGGGGGGTTTTGGAGGTTAAGTTCTCGTATAACATAAAATGAGCTAGAGTACCTTAATCCAAACAACATTTATTACATTAACCCAGGTTCACCTTCCATATTTCCAAACACTATTTTACGTATAGACCTAGGTTCACTTAGGTTAACCTAGTTTTTATTAAAACTTAAGTTTACTTTATTGCACTAGGTTTACTTAACTTCACTTTATCCAAACATAGCATTAAGGTTCTTCCAGGTTTTGGGAGTTAAGTGAGGTTAACACATAACCTAGGTTCTTGTTTCAAAAATACAAACAATCAGGGTTAACTAGAAATTGAACCTTCAATAACTCAGGTTAACTCCCAAACAAACAGGCCATTAAGATTATTTACTAAACACATACGGAGTATTATTAGACACTACACTTTACATTTTTGCATCATATTTGGAGACTGCATTAACGGGTCACCCCCGTCAATTATCACGTTATAGGCTACTTATAGCTGCCATTTCAATTACTCCCTCCATCCCGCAAAGAATTTCCCGTTTTCCTTTTTAGCAGTCCCAAAAAGAAATTCACTTTTCCTTAAATGGCAAGTTATCTACATCAAAATAGTGCTAAACAGTGTCAAACAGTGTTGAAACCGTGTCAAAACAGTAAAATTTACTCCCTGGTAAGTTTATTTCCTTAATATGTGTGTAGGTCAAACCGAGAATGATGTGTACTATTTAGTAGTGCATAAACACCACATTTTAGAATGGTTTTACATTATGTTTACTTAGCTTTTGTACAATTACGGTGTAATCTTTATCTTCTAAAATTAAAGTAGAATTAGAAGATATTAAGATATTTTGATATGTAAGCAAAAACATGATGAAAAGAAGAGGAAGGAGCTTGGGAGAATAAGGAAGGGGCATTGGAGACAAGAGGAAGCTTCATGGAGAACAAAGAAATGTGAAAAATCGGATATGATTTGACCCGAAGATCATAAGAGATCAAATAAAGCAAGTGAACATGAGAAAATCAGATTATGTCTTAGACCCAACCACCTCACTTCTCCTATAAAAACACACCTTTCCTTCCTATTTTAGATACCAATTTAATCCCCTCTTTCATATACACTTTATTCTTGTAATTTAGGTAGTCTTTTGATCTTGGTTTTGCTACTTTGAAGCTTAATGAATTGTAAGTTGTGAGTTTTTTTCTTTAATCTTCTTCCTTGAATATTAATCAATTCATATTGATATTTCATATTAATATTTTGAGCATTACTTAAAGGATCAACTAGTTTTGTTTCATATATTAATTATCACTAGAATCGACCGATTAATACGCTTGTTATTAATTCGGTCCTTTCACGGTAGTAAACTTGGGTTGTTAATGCATGCGTCTCATGGTTAATAACCGAAGGAGAATTAATTATATTGATTAAACCGATAAACCGCTTGTGTTGAGGTTGTCAATCTCAATCGTTTTCATCTTGATTTTATTGCTACTATCGGGTTAATATACGGCGCGTGTTCTATATTAACTCGGTAGTAAGTTTTATTAATGAGCGCGTCTCGTTATTAATAACTACCTTCGATGAACTGGATATACTCCTCGATTGAGTATTCGAGAGGAAGATAGTTAAAGATATAACCAGGATCGACGAACATTTCATTAAGTGGATAAAAGCAAAACCAAGACTAATTACCTTTGATATTTTATTTCACTCATTTAAGTATTTTGTTTGCTTTCTCAATTATCAAAATATCTAATTTCCCCTTCCGTTTACTTTTATTTATCACGCTTACACATATGCAAAAAGCTCCTTTCCCTGTGGATACGAACTCTACTACGCTATACTACGGTATTAGCCCTTAGTAGTGAATTTAATTTGAGACACATTACGACAAAGTGCTCGTCAGAGAACTTCTTTGCGGGACGGAGAGAGTATAACCAATACTCCGTAATAATGATGATGGTCATCATCACCATCATCATCATCATAATAGTAATAATAAAGTAATAAATTATGTCTGAACATTTATGATCTGATATGAATGTTTCTGATCTGAATGTTTTTTATTTGATCTGATATGAATGTTTCTGAATATGATCTGAATATTTTTAATCTAATTTGATTTGATCTGAATGATCCGATCAGAATATTTTTAATCTAATCTGCATCTGTTTGATTTGATCTGAATTTGTATGATCTAATCTGATCTAAATTGTTGTGAAGCATAAATTGTTTACCAAAAACAGAAAAATGAAAGTTTATTTTGGAACAGAAGAAAAGGAAATCTGGAAGTTTAATTAGGAATGAAGTGAGTAAGTAACAAGAATGTTTTTTTGGACTGAAATTTGCTGGTCTGGTCTCATATGGTCTGGTCTAGTCTAAAATAGTCTGGTAAACGTTTGGTCTATGTATATCTTATAACTACAGAAGTTTGACCTGACCTAGTCTGATTTGTTGTGGTTTGGTCTGATCTGATCTGAAATTGAAAACAATTCAAAAGTAAACACCTTAAGAATAGGACGAATACAAAGACCAACAAACAAAATAAACACACACAAAAACATTAGATATAAACACAAAAAATATAGCACGACACTATATAAAATACTCGAGTAAAGGGTCAGTTTGGTACCCGAAGTTGCAAAAAAGGTGTCAAATAAGTCCTTATATAGAAGATTATGTCTGGACGTGCCATTTGAGGTGGCTTCCAGTGGAATTTTTTGATAAATTTTTTTGAGCATCTTATTCATTAAGTCTAGTTTACTCATACCAAATTTCAGCTAAACATTCAATCGGGAAGACATTCAAATGAATTCTTGAAGATAACTACGCTTTTAACGGCACAATTATCTTCAAGAATTCATTTCGATGTCTTCCCGATTGAATTTTTATCTGAAATTTGATATGAGTAAACTAGACTTAACGAATAAGATGCTCAAAAAATTTCATCAAAAAATTTCACCAGGAGCCACCTCAAATGACACTTCCAGACGGAATCTTCTATATAAGGACTTCGAGGACCAACCTAAAATACTCGTATAAGATGTTACGTACACGTTGCATAGACAAAATAAATTAAAATCATTAGATACATAATTTGTAACACTTAACTTTCATCATCATCCTAACCATCACATGAGAAACACACGAAGAACATTATAAAACACCTTCGACTTCAGGTTGAGAACTCCCCCACAACTCTTCCATCTCTCTGGTATTCACAACATCCCGCCGGAGCAGCCATTTTACAACGCTCTACCTTCTCGGAGATCAACAAATCAAACCGATTAACTAGTTTTCAATTACTTCTAAAAGCTTTTCCATTTCCAGATTTTCTTTCAGACTTGATCCAGAGCTTGTTACCTCCCATTGGAAGCATCAGTCTCCCGTTTTCCTTAATATCGCGGTTTCGTTCTTTAACCCTGATTCCGCATTAAATACAGCTATATGTATGTATAATACTCCGTAGATAGAATATATAAGTGCAAGTGAAAGGTTTTTTCTTTTTTGAGAAATCCAAGTAAAATGACGATCGAGTCGATGCCCGGTAGCTCAGGGTACTTAGACGTTGGCGACAGGAAGGTCACGTATTTCAGTAATCGTTATGTCCTTGGTTTGACCGTCATCGCTGGTATTGGGGGCCTCCTTTTTGGCTACGATACAGGTATTGTTATTATTTCTATACTAGATTGAATTGGAAAGGGGGGAAACACCATTTTCCCTGAATTTATGCGTCCTTATGAAAGAATTTATGTTTCCTGATTTTGGAAATTATCTATTGGAATAACATATTGTTTGATCATGTTGGATTTGGTGGATCTATTGATCGAAGATAGCCAAGGCTATGGGGGTGGACCACGGGAACCAATCCCATGGTGAAATGGGTTGGTGAAGGGGAAATTATGCAGTTAGACCGTATAAAATTCTTGAGTTTTGTAGAAAGCGAAAGAAATAATAAGATACTCAAATTAGTTATTCGCTGAAAAATTCATTTGTCAGTTATACTAAAATATATGATAAAAAAAAGGTTGGTGTCAGTTAGCCTATATAAAAAAAATATAGGCTAACTTGGTGTCAATGATTCCTTAATTTTTTATTTTACATAAATTTACAATTTTTCCATTCCAACATTACTTTAATTTTCACTCCTATAGGAAAACTGAGTGTGTTTTAGGTTTTTTATCCCACTTAATCTACCTGCCCACCAATTTATAAATTTTATTTTAGGAGGGAGGTAGTACTTTAAGGAAAAGTGACAATGTTTTCTGGACAAAGAGAAGTAAAGTTGGCTAGCTGAGAAGGGTTTAGTATGCAACACTAATTTGGGTATAATTATTAAACAAATTACCCTAAATAGGAGTAAAAACGTTTGTATGTTCCAAAATTAGACTTATATTTTTATCACTTAAATAAAAGTAATTACTTCCAAGCAAAAATTATTGCAATGTTTAAAGCTTTGTAATGTCAAAACATGGCATGTAATTACTCCTATTTAAGGAATGCTTTTTCCTTCTCATTTTAGACATTATAATGGCAATGATAGAAATAATAACAAAATATCAAAAACACTTATGTTTCTTCCCCCCTATGTTACCAGGAGCTATGGGTATGGGGGATGGGGCGGGGGCATTGACCATTAAAAGAAATTTTAATTTTTGGGTTTTAATTTTCTTTGATGAAATAAACTCCTAATTGGGAATCACATACCTGATACCATTATTCTGCATAATACGTTATAATTCTCATATAAGCAGCTATTAAAAGCTTGCTCTGGTCCACATAGTGACATAGAGATTGGATTACCTTATATGTTGGTATTAAATGTTGGCTGATGCTATCTCTTTTCCCCCTTTTCGGTGTCCCTGTTTTGTTTTTGGATTACTCTAGATATTATTTTTTGGTAGATAGCGATAGATTCTTTCACTAAACTAATTTCATCAAACAAAATGAAATTTTCCTAAAGCACATATCTACACCAGATTGCTGTATGAAATGACCACAACTGTTAATATATTCCTAAATTGCCCATAACCCCACCACTATCAGTCTCTTAGTTGACCCAAATTGGGTATCATCATCATTATCATTACCCCTATGCCACAAAGGCTCCCACCAACGGTGGGGCAAGGGGGTCAGATGTACGCAGTCTTACCCCTGTACTAAAGCACAAAGAGACTCTTTCCGAATGACCCACAGTGAAAAACACGTCAAAAATTACAAGACTGACTGTTGCTTCATAACAAAGAAGCGCAGACAATTTAGCGAGCCATTTTGCTTTATTCCATCATATTCCCAAGCCAAAAAATAGTGTCCTTGGTTCCATTGCAAATGATGGAAAATTTGACCCAAATTGGGTATCACATTGCTAAAATTATCTCCAAATGAATGAGGCCTAATATGATTGTCCCGTTTTTGCTTAATATATTATTGCAACAATCAAAATGATTTGGACAACCGAATGTGTGCAATTTACTTCGGGCCACTAAAACAACTGACTGAACCACTAAAAGTTTAATAAGTTTGGAATTTGAAGGGATAGAAAGCAATCATAGTGTTCAGTGTTTTGTTTCTAATATACTGAATCGTTTGCAGGAGTAATTTCTGGAGCACTTTTGTACATTAAAGATGAATTTGAGGAGGTGAATCAAAGCAGTTTCCTACAGGTACACACGTTTAATTGGTTCACATTTTTAAAGGATTACTTTATGCTTTCACTGTGCTTAGTTCTTATCCCACTGAACATACAACATGATTGTGTTTTGAATACAAAAGAGTTTATCAAGTAAAGCTTGAGTACGAGAACAGCTAACTTCTTCTGTAACTGATTGATCACAAGATAGTTGGTTTGTAGTCTTGAAAATTAACGGTGGTAAGTTGGTGGCACATTTCTTATGTTGCGCAAGCGTCATCGCAGAAGGACTGAATGTGCTTAGACATTAGTCATGGCTAGCTTTACCAAATCATAGTTCCATTTACAAAGAGTCAAAGAGAATGAAAATCCATTTTCTAAGAAGATATGTTATAAATCACAGCCTTTCACTTCTATATATTTTCTGGCTAATTTTATTGCCATGAGAGGAATGACTACATCTAGCAATCATTCTCACTCATAGAATGATGACTAGATGTGGCCCTAGATGGTTAGATTTAGCTTTATTCAATTTTTATCGCTGGTTACATATATTTTATTTATAAATATATTATTTGGGGTTAAAATATTTGGACATATTCTAGTTATGATTCTTTTCTTTCTTTAACCCAGCCTAACTAAACATTCCTCGTATGAAGCTGCATTTAGGTCTTATTAGCATGAACGGAACATGCTATAGAAATGGTGAATTTAGGTCTTATTTGCACACTCATAAACGATAAAAAACACTGTGAGGCATATTAGAAGGATTCGAACTTCAGAATCAAATTGAGCATTGGGAAATCATACATATATTCACATGTACTATATTTTAGATACAAATGAAGTTGTACACTTGAGTGCCAAACTGCCAACTTCATTATACTTGTGTGTCAACAAATATTCTCAGTTTATCTAGCTCAACACTCACTTTTTGCCCCACATTGTAGAAAATAATCCACTGACACTACCGCAGCAGTACTTGTGAAGTAATTCATTTTTCGTAGCGATATTGAATCGATGTTTTGGCAGGAAACTATTGTCAGCATGGCTTTGGTTGGAGCTATGATTGGAGCTGCTGCAGGAGGATGGATTAATGATGCTTATGGGCGGAAAAAAGCTACTCTTTCAGCAGATGTTGTTTTCACAATGGGAGCCATTGTTATGGCTGCAGCTCCAGGTCCATATGTCCTTATACTTGGACGACTTTTGGTTGGTCTCGGGGTTGGTGTGGCTTCTGTCACTGCTCCTGTTTACATTGCTGAAGCATCACCGTCTGAAATTCGGGGAGGACTTGTGAGCACCAATGTACTGATGATTACTGGTGGACAGTTTCTTTCCTACCTTGTCAATCTTGCTTTCACCGAGGTCAGGTGTTCATGATTTGCTCTACCCTTCAACTTTATCTTGTAATTCATTTTGATTATTATAAATGAGTTTTAGGTTTCTTAAATTTTGTGAGCTTCAATAGTAAATTGTGATAAAATCACAAATCTTTAAATAATTTTACTCGTTTTTGCTTATGCCATCTTAAGTCTAAAAAAAAATGGGGTTCCCAAGTCCTTGAAGTCCTAAATCAACCGAAAAGGAGGGGATTTAACCTGATGTGAATCGGACACACAGAGGTGATCTTAAATTCCATCATTACAAATCATTTCTATTTGATTTGAATATGATTAGAATAGACATACCAGGAGTGTGGAATATACTGTCATAAACAAGTTTTTGATTGCCTTGACAGTGCCTGATTCATTTAGACATCAGGATGCGTGGGCACAGTAGTATTTTCTTTCTCATGTTGATGTTATGGTGAGTAAGACTATCTGGACGATTTAGCAGAATTAGCTTGTTGAAAATTGATGCATCTTTTTGCTGCTATAATAATGTATTGGCCTACGTTGCATTTAGTACTACCTCCGTCCCAAAAAACTTTTCCATTTCATAAAATTTGAAACTATGATTTTGATTAGTACTGTATATAATTATGGAAGTTATAAATTTTTTACTTTTATGAAAGTACTTTTAACAAAGAACATTTTCATATAATTTTTATATTATAAATAATTTCCCATAAAAATATATAGTTGGTCAAAGTTTTGAAAATGGCAAAGTTTTTTTTATTGGGACGGAGGTAGTAGCTCTTTATCACATTGTTTTCTTTGCATGAAGGGTTTTCCGTTGTGCAGCTTTGAAGAAGCAGCATCAAGATAGATTTATGGGGCTTGCATTATAGTTTTCACTATGAGTAATGTCAGTGAAGGATATTTTTCTTTTCTTTCTTGCCTATATTAGTTCTGATTTAACTCAAATCTGTATTTGTATTTCTCTTTTCCTTTCAACTGACATTATCTTTACTGGCTTTTACATTGATCATGATTAATCACTTTCCAATTGCCTATAAATTTTTATTTGCATCTATAAATGTAACAGAGAGCAATTCAGGTATCAGTATATCACTAGCTACTTTTTATTTTGTTTTATGTTTTTAATGCTTTCTCCCATAATTAGATGCATGTAGATATTCAGGACCAGGGTTTTAGATTGATCTGCGTGAACTTTCTTCAAGTGAGAGGTTTTCTGTTGCCCCGCGCTATGCGCCTGTGTTAAATCAAATATTTTTCAGATTTTGTCCTGAAGTACGTAGTGCATTAATGTTCACTCCGGACTTAGTTTAGGCAACCTCTTACACGCATGCATGTTTCTGAAAAGATTTTCTCTAGGATGGGGAAAAGGGTTCCTTGCGCTGTCAAACTCTTGCATATCAGAAACAGAATATTTCACGTTTAAACACATCACCGTCAAAACAAGAAAACAAAGATGCAACAATAATGTTATTTTTTTTTGTTCCGGATTGTGCTTTTATAATATTCAGTGTCCTACTGTCCTTCTCTTTGTTCTCTCGGTCAAGGCTTCAAGTTTATCCACAATATCTCCGGGGATCTTAGATTAGCTTCACCATTTTTGCTATGTCGTACTTAACTTCATCTCCAACTATGCACTCATGAATGGGCATATTTGGTTTCACTTGCAGATTTGGAGTAAATGTTTACTCTAGAAGACCTTGAAAGTGTTTTTTCCTTATGCTCTGTGCTCTTCATGGATTTTTAAGACATCATTTTTGCAAATTTGTGCTCAGTGTTATAACAAAATTAACAGTTTATTTCTGCCAATCAAATTGTAATTTGAAATGAAGACTTTTGAATTTCTGGATTGTAGTGACTATAGAAGTTGCTTGTTCTGCATGTCAATCTGACAAATGAGAAATCTTATATTTGGAGAATTTCATGATATTAGTTTTGTACTGAAATTTTATCCATATGTAAATACAATATGGATATTCTTTTATTTTGGAAACTCTTTGGTTGTTTGTATTTTAGCTAAAGAATTAGTTACGTTACATTTCACAATTTCCTGTCGGCATGGGCTTTAAAGGAAAACAAGAGACAAGAATGGTGAGCTGGGAAGACTAAAAATTAGTGGCGGTGAATGCCAAAAAAATAGTGGTGTTCGAATTGGGAAATTGAACATGTAACAAATTTAAAATAGAAGCAAACAAAAGAAACAGCAATAAATCCCACTGAGAAGTCGGAAGTAGAATTGGGCAAGAGTTGGTGAATGAGAAAACTAAAAAAGCTAGTGGTCTTCAAAATGTCAGTTTAGGAAAGTGGACGTTGTAACTGGCTAAATGTGGATACCAGACCAAACCAAATTAACAAGTAAGTCTCACTCGTTAGTTGGAAGTAGAGTTTGGAGAAGGTGATATGAGTGCAGAGCTTTTTTCTACTCTTAAGAACAGAGATGCTGCTTCTGTGAAGACTGGGGGCGAAGATTCTTTTTGAAAAAAGTTGTAAGACTTGAAGATAGTAGGAAACAACTTGAAGTAGATAAAAAAGACATTCAAAGGTGGAAGGTAGTGTGAACAGTGTTGATAGATGGATTTTTTCCCCAAGACAATGGTTTTTTCAGTACAATATGCTCCTTATTATACTTGGTATTATCTTTATGTTATTTGATGATGAGGCAATTGTTCTCCAATAATTCCCAATATAGATACCATAACAATGGTTGGTTGTGTTATATTTTTGTTATATGGTAATCATTTGGGTTGTCACTTTATTCTATTGCTGAGTAATCTTGTTACTGCTTAGGAAATGTGCATAGGCAATTGCTCTTGTTAGGTGAAAATAGCGATTTGTAATATTCTGGCATGGATTTGTAATATCCTGTGTAAATCCCTAAGCAGATCCCTGGGACTTGGAGATGGATGCTTGGAGTGTCTGCTGTGCCAGCTGTTATACAGTTCTGTCTTATGTTATTTATGCCCGAGTCTCCACGGTGGCTCTACATGAAGGTATTAAATGCTAGAATAATGTGAATGTCCATTTTATCAACTTTTTTATTTTCTATTATGTTATGTGCCAATCCTCTGGTAATACAGACAAATCAAACCAATGTACCAAACCCTTTTGCAGAATGATAAATCGAAGGCTACAGTTGTTCTTTCCAAAATCTATGATCCTTATCGCTTAGAGGAGGAGATTGATCAGTTAGCTACTGCCTTAGAGGAAGAAAGCTTTAGAAAGAAATCTGTCAGATACACAGATGTTTTCAAATCAAAAAAGCTTAGACTTGCATTTTTTGCTGGAGCTGGACTGCAGGTACTTTATTACTCTTCATGTTAATATACTGCATGTTCCGAAATATGCAAGTATTACACCAGTAAATGGGCAATATGGATTTATTACAGGCATTCCAACAGTTGACTGGCATCAATACAGTCATGTACTATAGTCCAACAATAGTGCAAATGGCTGGCTTCCGTTCAAACCAAATAGCTTTACTTATCTCACTTATTGTCGCGCTGATGAATGCCTTTGGCACAATCCTGGGAATTTACCTCATTGACCATATCGGGCGCAAAAAGTTAGTCCTGACGAGTTTATCTGGTGTGATAGTTTCCCTTGTTCTTCTCGCCGGATCTTTTATAATCTTAGACCCGTCATCTACCACGGGCCACGGGCTGTACGGATGGGTTGCAGTTATAGGCCTGGTTCTTTACATTGCCTTCTTTTCCCCTGGGATGGGCCCTGTGCCTTGGACAGTGAGCTCAGAAATATACCCCGAAGCATACCGAGGTATATGTGGCGGAATGTCGGCCACTGTTAACTGGATATCCAATATCATAGTGTCAGAGAGTTTCCTGTCATTGGCAGACGCCATAGGCACCGGTGGCACTTTCTTGGTATTTGCTGGTATGGCTGTTGCTGCCTTTGGGTTTGTGGTGGCTTTTGTGCCCGAGACCAAGGGCCTGACGTTCGAGGAAGTCGATAGCATCTGGAAGGATAGAGCTTATGGAAATGGCTCCTCTGCCAGAGAAGCTCTTGTTGTACCTGGAAACCAATCTCGAGAGTAGGGAGGCAGCTCTTCCCTTATCTAATTAGTTTGTCTGTAGATATATGTCGAGTTATAGTGTTTAGTCCCGAGTGCAGTTTTCTGTGCATTTGTTGCGGTGATGCACTGGCGGCTCGTATTTGTGGTGTAGAATAATACTCTTTATTTTGAATGTCCTTGGTCTATATAGACTTTATTTAATCATCTACCTGTCTGGCACTCTGGCTTGGGTTGGTGTCAAATCTCCAAGTCAAGAAGGTTAAATAAAACATATTATCTCTACCAATTATATTAGGGAAATTCTATTGAAAGCCATCAATTTACTACTCAGCCACAACATTAAAACTAAAATAAAAATCTTTTTTCAAATACCAATTTATCCTTTGCCCACGTAACTCTACCCCGTGTCCCCGTCCACATGCACCCACAAGCCTCGTGTGTCTGGAAGGTACCTAACTTGAAGGAGGGAGACACTTAGGGATGATTGTGCTTCTACTTCGATCTACCTCGGTCACCTTGCTCCTTGTATGAGAGATTTTCCCTTTTATTGAAATCTGGAATGTGAAAATTAGTATATATATATGAGAAGAGGGGAAGAAAGACGGAGAAGAAGAAAAGAAAAGAAGTAGAACTATACAACTTTATTACAACTTCTCTGTTTTTATTGCTTTATTAGATTAGATCCAATCCATGTTGCACGGAAACACGAAAATCAGGAGGAAACGGGAAACGTCAACTTTTGCTCATAAAAGGCTCATTTGGAGAGTTTCCAAAGATTTTCCGAGAGTTTCCAATACGGGAAACGTGCTCTTTCCCGAGAGTTTCCATGCTACATATGATCCAATCCGTGTGTAACTAATAACGACTCCAATACTACACATGTTACGATAGTATCAACCAGGGCCGGCTCCAGCAATTTGGAGGCCCCAGGCGGACAAGCTTCACAAAAGCTTCAATAAACATAATCCCTTCATTCTTTATTACGACTAGTCCTCTTCAACTTTGACACGAGTTTCAACATGAAAATAAGGACTAATATAAAAGGTGCTGTTGGTTGTGTTTAAATGAAAAAGTAGGGAAAAGAATGAAAAAGTAAGAACGAGAATGAGAGCATATAAGTGGTGTTCGGGTTCGAGCTCGAAGCTCGGCGAGCTTTACAAATGTGGCTCGTGTTCGGCTCGATAGGCATTCGATGTTCGAACCGAGCACTCGATAAATATGCTCGAATTCAAAATTTTAGGTAATGCTCGTTAATAGGCTCGTGCTCGAATGATTCGACAATTATTCGATTCATTAATAATCATATTTAAATTCATAAAATCACACTAATTATATTTAAAATTTGACATATATATAAATTATATTTATAATTTCAGGGTGATCGATAGGCCCGAGTTTGAACCGTGCCGAATACTACTATGTTCGAGCTTGGCTCGATTAATTTTTCGAACCTAAAACTCAGCTCGGGCTCGAGTTTGAAAGTTCGTTAAGCTCGGGTCGTTAAGTTCGAAATTGAGCTCGAACTCGAATATTTCGATAAAAGCTTGGTTCGTTAACAGCCCTAAATATAAGTATATTTATCCAAAAATGAAAAGAAGAACAACTAATAAAAATGTCCCCAAATTAGAATAAGAGAAACACCTACACAACAATACTCAATAAAGTTAGGCAACATGACACTCTAATGCAGTAATGCACTACCTCAAGTCCTTAAACCCTTACTCCCATGTCCACTACTTACTATCAGACTACAAACTAGCAGAGTAGTAGCAATTGATTAAATAAGACACAAATAATAATGTAAGGAATAAAGACTAACTACTAAAGAAAAGATCTCAATTTATACAATTGAGTAATTGACGGAAGATCGGAAGAATTTGCAAAGTTTTTCATACGGTCAATTTATACATTTCTTCTGCCGACTGCTGTTCTTGCGTGAGTAACGTGAGTTGTCCGTTCAATTTTAATTATTGTATACAAAAATTATATTTTAATTGTAACTGTAATAGGTCTTCCTTTTTTGGAGGCCCTCCACATTTTGGAGGCCCTAGGCACTCGCCTGGCCAAAATGGCCATAAGCCCGACACTGGTATCAACGAAGCTTATAGTGTTTAGTGTTGTTCAGATCTGCCAGTGAGACTTTTGTAAAGCTGAAGGTATTGCTATGCCAGGTTCTGTAAACTTGTTGTTGGTCTGCTACGTTAGAGCATCCACAATGCCAATGGCATTTGATCCCCTCCTCTCTCTTACACATCATTTCCCTCCAAAAACTTAATCCCCTTCAACCTATCCTATTTTTCCCCCACTATGGTGACCTAGGTCACTTAAAAATTTTACATCCTTTCTCCTTATTTTGACATATTCCAACATTATTAATTTATTTGATTTGACAAAAGGAATACTTCGTATAAAATCCACATTTGACCCACTGTATTATTTAGTGAAAAAATAAAATAAGCATATTTTTAAAAAATTGTTACATATCCTTAATTTAGAGGAAAAGATCTTCTAAAATGGATAAAATAAGATGCAAGAAGGAAAGAAATGATAAATTACGAAGTAACTAAACATATCCTTCATTGATGTCTATGTATAGAGGGAAAAAAATCCAATTTTTTGATATAATTTTTTTTTATTATTATAAATTAAATTTAATGTATAATAAATGAAATTAGGGAGTTGGGGGTAGTTAATGGGGTGAGTTCAAAGTAAAATGTCACTTGGCTTTCTCTAAATGTTAGTCACAAATAAGCTTGTAGCTCTCATTCTTAACCTTGCATGTTGATCGGTCATTTGATAACCTCCCATAGTGGGGATCAAGAGGGATCAAGTTGTTTTTGTGATCCCCATTGACCACCCATAGTGGGTGCCCTTAGTGGCACAAGGGCGAATCAGATAACTTAACTAATTTTATTTACTCTGTATTAAATAAAAATTAATGGCTGTAATGAGTAATTATAAATATTTATGTGGCTGTCAATAGAATTCTCCTTATATTAGAAGTATTATGCATCAACTTTTTAGGGCATGCTTATTTCATAAATAAGTCAAACATTTAGTAAAGATCAAGCGGAGAAACAATTGTTTACTCAGGATTTGTAACCATTTCGTTCGAAAAGGTTGGAACTATTTGATTCAGATGGGCGTGTCACAAAAAGCAACTAATCGTCACTTGTATTTTATTTTTCCGATCATGAGTGCTTAATGCTGATACAGGTATGGTAATATTGACATGTTTAAAAAATATAGGATACGGGTATGTAATGTGTATATTTTCAAATGCAAAAAATATAGAGATTCATTTACAAAAGATAGTTTTATTTAAAGGCACATGAGTAAACAAAAAAGTATAAACGCATCGAATCGTGGTTATAAAAGTATAAACTAAAAGAAAGAATTTGGAAGAAGATCGAAGGATGGAAGGAAAAGCTTCTCTCTCGACTGGGGAAAGACATTCTAATCAAATCCATTGTTCAAGCTATCCCGACTTACATGATGAGTATCTTCCGGATTCCTGAAGAGGTTCTCGATGATATACACACAATGATGGCGAGATTTTGGTGGGAAGCAAAGGGGGACGAAAGGAAGGTACACTGGTTGTCATGGGAAAACTTTGTAAACCCAAAAGTGAAGGCGGTATGGGATTTAGAAACCTCAAGACTTTTAATCAAGCGCTACTTGCAAAACAAGGATGGCGGCTTATTACAAAACCCGGTTCAATTGCTGCCCAAGTTCTAAAACAGAAGTATTTTAAAAATGCTGAATTTGTGGATGCAGCGAGGGGCTATGATCCTAGCTATACGTGGAGGAGTATTTGGGGAGCAAAGTCTTTACTACTGGAGGGGCTAATGTGGCGGGTAGGAAATGGATCGAGCATCAAAGTGTGGGAGGATACGTGGCTGCCCCGGTGCCCACCAATGAAAATATCCTCCTTGAATTTGAATGTTGAAGCTGATTTACGAGTGGCTGATCTTATAGATATGGAGAAGGGATCGTGGAATGATGAGATGTTGTCCACACTTTTTTCAACCGACGAGGTGAGTGCCATTAGCAATATCCCGCCGAGTTCAAGACACCCCTCAGATTCCCTCTATTGGTAGTCTGCTAAAGATGGAGTTTTCACAGTAAGGACAGCGTATTGGCTAGGTGTATTGGGACCAATGGGACTGAAGCGAGATAATGGCAAAACGATCTGGCAACGGGTTTGGGAACTAAAAGCTCCTCCTAAGATGAAACATTTTCTATGGCGGGCTATCTCAGGGAGCTTGGCAACCAGAGAAAGACTATGGCAACGACACATAGTTGAGGTACCTTTCTGCCGAGTGTGTCGTGAGTCGATTGAAACTTTATTTCATATGTTTTTTTCTTGTACTTTTGCTAGAAAAATATGGCAAGAGGAAGCCTGGGCAAAGATGTTCCAAGAGGCGCCTTTAGTTTCTTTTTCTGGTCTTTTAAACTGGGTGATCGAGAACATGAGAGAGGATCTATATGATTTCTTAACCAATTGCTGGGTGATTTGGACTTGTAGAAATAAAGTGGTCTTTGAGCAAAGCGAGCCAAAAGTAGAACTAATTAATGCATGTTTTCAAAGTAGGCATGGCAATGGGCCGGGGCGGGGCGGGTACTGCAAGACCCGGACCCGCCCCATGACTTGGCGGGGCGGGTCCGCCCCGCTCCGTGACCTGCACGGGTCCAAACTTGTTGACCCGTGACCCGCCCCATGCCCGCCCCGCCCCGCCGTAACCTAATTAGCTAATATGTATTTCTATGTGTGGGAAGTTGTTACCAATTGAATCTACATAAAGTTTATCTCTGAATAATAATTAAAAATTAATATATTAAATCAAATTCATGATACGCTAAAAATTTCAAAAATTGAGGAAAAATTACTCAGACTTGAATAGTTAGTCTATTTAATTATATTAATAATTGAATATATGTATTAAAATGCTATATATAACGCATACATTGATAATCCGTCGCTCATCTCATTCTAATATATATATTAATATATTATAAGATCAAAAAATTTAATATTTATTGTATACACACATATGAATGTTGAAGTATATTTGTAGTATAGTTTAAGAAAAGGTATGTACACTTTTATATTGAGCGGGGCGGGTCGGGGCGGGTCGGGGCAGCACGGGTCAATACTAAGACCCGGACCCGCCCCATTGTATAGGCGGGGCGGGGCGGACCCGCCCCATTTGCAAGACGGGGCGGGGCGGACCCGCCCCAAATGTCTCGGGCCAGGGCGGGTCATTGCGGGTCGGGTTTTTTTGACATTCCTATTTCAAAGATATGTTGAGG